ACAGCCTCTTTACCATTCCTGGAAAGTGAATGTCCAACAACCCCCCAAGACAGTCCCTTCCACTCTTTGATAGAATTTTCCACACCAGAAAATTCTCCCACAAACTGATCTCCAATCTCCCTCCCTGTAATTTCCAATTAGTTAGGAGCTGGTTCTAATCGTGCCCTACAGAATACTCTTCTTCATTCAGCTATCACATGCCTAGTCCATTTGACCCAGTGGGGGTGGCAGAAAAGCCAACAGTACTGCTGCAGTACTCGAGTGAAAACATGGAGTCACATTGAGTCCTAAAATGTAGAAGCAATTTCTAGAAAATTAAACATCATGTATTTGTGTCCACTGGAAGGTAACTGTAAAAACCAGAGCTTGTCCCTATAAAGTTTAATATATTTTTTTTCATTTTTACTTAAGAAAAAGACTTATTAAATCAGCTGATCATGCTAAATAATCACGAGCAACTTGGAGAGCCAGGATTATATTAAAAACAAGTTTCCAATCTGGAATAAACCAGATTTCATGGATAAACCATGAAAATGTTCTAGCTCGCTGGCTTCTAGGCTGTGTTTGGACAGCCACTACCCCCTACCTCCCTTCCTCCACCCAGGGGGACAGAGAATAGAATGCAAATAGTGTCACCATTTCTGCCACTTTAATCACCCTTCTTTCCAAAAGTTTATTTTTGCTTTCTTAGGGTGTCAGGAAGAGCATGTTCTAACACAATTGTTCTGAGCTGATGCCAGGAAGTTGAGTTTATCTTTAGCACCATCTCTGGGCAAATAGCACAGACGGAGGAAAATAATGTCTGGGGCCAAATGTTGAAAACTTGAGTCTTCTGTAGCATGAGATAAAAGAACAAAGAGCTAAAATAAAAAGTTAATAATGTTGATTCTATTTTTCTCTGCAAGAGTTTCTATTTAGAGAAGAGGTGATCATGAAAAGAGGATGGGCTTCAAGTACCTACAGCTTTGGGTTCAAACTCAAGCATGATCAGCTGCTGCCTGCTGGAGAACCCTTGGATGAACTTAACAAACATTTAATTGAATGACTCCTCTGTGCCAAGTACTTTGTCCAGTAACATATGTAAAATTATAAAGCCCAGGCCGTAGCACATAGTAGTTGCTTAACAAATCTTAGTTTCTCTTCCTTGTCTGCAAAATAACAAAACTAATCTCTCCTGTGAGTAAATTTGTGATTTAAAAACACAGCTCTAGTATACAACTAAAAATAAAAACAGTTCCATAAATCTAGACACTTCTAAAATACCCAAAGTGTTTTTGGAGATTCATGAACCATGACAACCAGACTTCAGAAATCAGTCTCAGATACTACCCCTATCTACTAGTCCTATTTTGACTCCAATTTGTTTTTATGCAAAACAAAAATAAACTACTTTTCTTCTCAATTACCAGCCAGCAAGTATGGTATGTGCAACACAGAAATCAGAACTATAAATGATGCTGAAATATCAGAACTTCTCATTCAAAATAATGTGAATAGATTATTCTGTAATGTGTGAGACACTGTGATGGCATTAGAGCAATAAAAGAAACAAATGTTAGCTTGATCTGATGACACTCTTCTAGTGAGGGAGATATAATGTCTGCCCTTGGGGAAGCTAAGCCAGGAAAAGAAACGAGACAAATAGGTATTAAACAATAGTGGCCAATATGCTATATTAGAAGTATTAAGCAATAAATTAGAGTCTCTGGTATAGGCATTTAGAAGAGATGCCATAGTCCAGGATGCTTTTTGTGAAAAAAGTGAGATTTGAGTTGAGACTTTTGAAGGTTAGGGAGGACTATTCAATGTCTTCTATTCTCCTTGTTCATAAAGATCAGATGCACAAAAACAATGCAATAATGCCTTCTCTTTCTGAATGCTTATAGTTCTCTCTGAACTCTGTCATCATTCAATAGTATAAATTTTACCTTAGTTCCATCTCATCCAAAAGTCAACATTATCTACTCTTGGGTGAAAGGTAATGGGGGTTTTGTTTTGTTTTTTAAATCACTATAGAGTTTTTGAAGGAGTTGTTCAATCCAACTGGTTCTGCTCCCTGTTCTCCTGCACGGAAGGAAGGAAGGAAGGAAGGAAGGAAGGAAAGACCGACCCAGAATATATGCACTATTTGCATCTTCTGATTGTGAGAATGCCCCCCATTCCTACCTCCCAAACTTCCCTATGGGCAAGAGGTAATCACAACCCAGACAGCTGGTGCTGCCTCTCTTACTACCCAGAAATGGAATCAGATCAGGCTAGTAAGAAAGAGATTCGATGTCAGAAAGCTTTTAAAATTCCAAGTCCTATTTGGACTACGCAAACTTCAGAGGTGAGTCCTCTGGGACAGGGCTTCATCCCAGTTCCCTAACAACGTCACCGTGAAACCAGAACAACCACGCTCCATTCCCAATGTGGAATATAACCTCCCCCCCTTAAAGTACTGCTCATTTATCTTCAGTTAAGTTCTGCACATTTTTGTTCATCCCAGCTTTCTTCAATCTTCTAGATGAGAGGTGCTTGATCAGCCATGAAGGGATGAACTTCATAGGAATCCATAATGTCTCTCAAATTAAATGGCCTATTGTATGTTTATGGCTTTCTTAACATTTTTTTCCCTGTAAAAAGGAGCCATAGCTTTCATCAAATACTCAAAGTGTTCCTTGATGCCTATCCATCCCTACAAATCTCTCCCTCCGCAAAAATAGTTTAAGAATCTGTATCTTAAATCTAGCAGGGCCAATTTTTCTTGATATCATTTGCAAATGACTACACTCCAATCATAATTCAAGGAAAAGAAAAAAAAATGACACACTTAAAAAAATACTTTAGCATTTCTTATTTGCTAATAACAACCAAGTACTAGGTTGAAAGGTTTGTCTTCTATACACTCAATTAGTAAATCATGTTAAAATAATTTTTAAATGCAGATCTTTTTCTATTGCAATGCTTAAAAATTATCCAGATAGGCTCAGTGACTAATGATCAACCTGTCTTGATTCCATCATTTTTTATTCCATCGCTGAATGACACTTTGTATTCTACAGAACACTATACAAAAAGAAACACATAAGTCCATTACACTGGAGCTTACAATCAAATTGCTTTATCAGTAAGAGAGGGTAGAAAACTGCCCCACCCTCTCCTTTCCTTGCAGTGATAGAGTTCAGGTGATTAGATTTCAAATAGTCCAAAGAGAAATGTATTTCCAGTTTCTAAAAGAGCAGACTCCTCACAAATTGGTGTAGGGTTGGAAAAGTCACTAGCGCTCTCTCACTCGAGAGAAAAAAGTACAAGTTATAAGATATGATCTCATTGTCTATTTTGGTCACATACTAACTCTCCACTTCTCAAAGCTTCAGTTTATTCTTCTATAATTTAGGGATGGTTCTGCTTGCTTCCTCTTTCTTTGAGTCATCATGACCATGAGAAAATAATTTCAAAAATATGTTGAAATATTCCAAAATGCCAGACAAAAAGAATATGTCATCTTCTCTCCCAGCCTCCTTGGATCCTTGCTCTTTCTCCACACACACGAACTGTTGGCAGGACCCCCAGTGAGATGTCACCGTGCATCTTCATGTATTCATTTCAGGAACAACCAACCACTTATCCACAAATACAGAAACTACAGGTACAGCAGAAGACCTGCATACCTAGCTCCATTCTGTGCACTTAATTTTTGGAAGCACATTCCGAATTCCATTCAGAAAGCGTGTGGGACACTGAAAGCATGCAATTCCATTACAGAGAGCAGCTCAACAAAGCCAGCTAGGTTACCACCTGCACTTTTCTTTTTAGTACTTTGCACCTATAGATCATTATATTGTCTGTCCAGAACTTTCACTACCTTATTCCATTTTTGCTCACTAATAACCTTGTGAGGTGTGCAAAACAAACTTTCTTCCAACTTTCACTTGTCTGAATTTTTACCTTCAGCCTGCACAGTGACCTGAGGTTAAGGCAGTCTTCTTGATCAATAAGTCCCTTCCCTTAAAATCTTTTGGTACATTCCAGAGCACTTAGAATAATATTCCAACTCCTTACCACGCCTTACTAAGTCTCATAGGATGCAGCTTCTGCCCACTTTTGTGGACTCATCTCACGCCATACGTTTCTTCCCTGGCCAACCTTCAGCTGTGCTCACTTTTTGATTCTTTCAACATGTCACAAGCCTGGGGCTCTTCAACATGCTGTTTCCTCTACTTGATCTACTCTTTCTCCAATTCTCTGTGTGGCTGGCTCATTTTCATCTTTTATCTCTCAGCTTACTGTCACCTCGACTGAAATTATCTCCAGCCATCCCACCGTGGTTATCCAGTATCTCAACACTTCATTGGTTTCCATCACAGAATAACTTATGATTATTTCATTTTCTGGGTTTTTTGTTTTGTTTTTTCATGTCACAATAAGAACACCAGTGTGCAAACCATAGCGGGCACTGATACAGAAGGTGCTCCATTACCACAGAGTGATGATTTGATAATATTTATCAAGTGAAAGAAATAGGCAATTGTAGTACGTGCACTAAGTTCTGTTTTCCATGTGCATGTACTAAAGCAAGGATGTTGAATAACCTGTTTAAAAAAGATTTCTCCAGCAAATGTACGTCTAACATGTTCTGACTACATTTGGGAGCTCTAGACTTGTGCTGTCCAACACAGTAGCTACCAACCACATGTCAGTGTTGCACACTTGAAATAAGCTAGTCTGAACTGAATGTGCCATAAGTGTTTAATAAACACAAGTTTTGAAGAATTAATATTAATATGAGAAAAAGTATATAAAAATCTCATAATTTTTATTTTGATTACATGTTGAAGTAATAATATTTTCAATAGATGAAATTAAAATATGTTATTAAAATTAATTTTATGAGTTTCCCGGGAGCTGCAACTCACGTCCCTAAGGGGTTGGCTGGGAAGGGCTCTCAGACGTCCGGACCCCACCGCAGAGGTCGGGTTTCCGCGCCCCAGGATCCCGAGACTAATCCCATCAGGTGTGTCGTGTTCCGCGGGAACAGGTGCTGGCCCCTGGAGCATCCCTCGGGACCGGACGTATGGTGGACGATGCCCCTCCTCACCCAGCACGTCCAAGATGAGAATGATCAGTACAGCTTAGTGGCCAGCCTGGACAACGTTAGGAATCTCTCCACTGTCCTGAAAGCCATTCATTTCCGAGACCATGCCATGTGTTTCGCTACTAAAAATGGAATCAAGGTTACAGTGGAAAATGCAAAGTGTGTGCAAGCGAATGCTTTTATTCAGGCTGGGATATTTCAAGAATTTAGGGTTCAGGAAGAGTCTGTTACTTTTCGAATTAATTTAACTGTCCTTCTAGACTGTTTATTTATTTTTGGATCAAATCCTATGCCAGGGACTTTAACTGCACTTCGGATGTGTTACCAAGGCTATGGTTACCCTTTGATGCTGTTTCTGGAAGAAGGAGGAGTGGTGACTGTCTGCAAAATCAATACTCAGGAGCCTGAGGAGACTCTGGATTTTGATTTCTGCAGCACCAATGTAATTAATAAAATTATTCTGCAGTCAGAGGGGCTCCGTGAAGCATTTTCCGAGTTGGATATGACAAGTGAGGTCCTCCAGATTACCATGTCTCCTGACAAGCCTTATTTCAGGTTATCTACTTTTGGAAATGCAGGAAGTTCCCACCTTGACTATCCTAAAGATTCTGATTTGATGGAAGCATTTCATTGTAATCAAACCCAGGTCAACAGATACAAGATTTCTTTACTAAAACCCTCTACAAAGGCATTAATCCTATCTTGTAAGGTATCGATTCGGACAGATAACCGAGAATTTCTCTCATTACAGTACATGATTAGAAATGAAGATGGACAAATATGTTTTGTGGAATATTACTGCTGCCCTGACGAAGAAGTTTCTGAGTCTTGAGTGTGACAATTCACTGTAATATTTATATGTACATTTATGATAGGCTAAGTTCTCATTCTGAGTACTGTACTCTTCATAATTTTTTAGTGGATTTTCTATAAAGAAGTATGGAGAAGTTAGGAGCAAGTTCCCTGTACCTTAATAGTTGCTATGTACTTTGTAAATATATGTTTTCATGCAGTCAGAGATTATCCAGTATTGGACTGTCCTGTGGTTCTGTCTCTTGAATTCATGGGAATCATTGTGAGCCAAGATGAATAAACTCTAAGTTCTATTCTGTTTAAGGAGAACATTTCAGGAGTCTAAAGATTTAAAGTTTGATGAAGCCATATCTGAAGTGTTCTTTTATTTATTTTTTATTAGAAAAAGCAAAGGCATATGGGCATTGCTTATTAGTTTAGTGTTGTGCCCAGATCAACAGCATTAGAATCACCTGGGTTGTCAGAAGCTCTGGGAATGAGGCCAGCAACCTGTATTTTAACAAGCTTCCACCAGTAATTTCTTATGTATGCTAAAGTTTGGGAACTATTGTTTTAAAGGATACCATTTTGTTTGTTTGTTTTTAAATAGCATTTACTTGCATCGAAATGATTGCTTTTACATGTGACTTCTTTGCAAACACTCTGAAGTTGAGGTATCACCAAATAACTCTGAACAATTCTTTATATGATTTATTTTTACAGTATACTTTTTAAAGACATCTGTAAACAGGATATAGAACAGTCATCAGAGTTACAGATTTCTTTCTTGTACTCAAAACTGTTCAATTCAGTAACTACTTATTAGATACCTTCCATTTGCCTATAAGAGTTTCTTGATGAAATCAAAGTGTAGAAAACCAGTTATTAAATGATTTTGTACTTTCCTGAGTAGTTTTCACTGAAATAATTTTTGTGGCATGCAAATATTTTTTGTATTTAATAAAATATAATACTTAAATAAAAAAAATAATAATAATTCTACCTGTTTTCTTTATTTTTTAACGTGGCTACTGGAAAATTAAAATTGCATACATGGGTTGTATTATACTTCCATTGGATAATGCTGATCTAGAATACTCCCCTATCCATTCAGCATTTCAGAGTTAATTTGATTTTTATGCTTATGGTTTTTTAAAAAGAACCTACCTATAATGGTATACATAGAAGTCTCAAAGCCACTGCCTAAAATTCTTATGTTTCCTATAGTAATTTTATCTCACACAGATATCAGGAAATTATCAGCTATCACAAACAGACTCTTTGGCAGGAAAAATCTTCATATAATTTCAAGATCATTATTCACCCTCTTCTTAGCAAGGCCTTCAAATCCTTTAATCCCACTTCCAGAGCCACTACTATAATCTAGGGCACCACAATCTCTCACCTGTACATCTGAAACAGCTTTCTAATGGCCTTCTACCTTCAACCCATTTTTTCCCCCAACAGTAGCCAGAAGAATCTTTCCTACTTCTCTCTCCTGCCTACTGTCTCTTCTTCCCTCTTAGACTCTGCATGCCAACCATTGTGAACTGTGCAGTTCTATAAAGGTGCCATGCTTTCCTTAGCTTCTGGACTTTGTTTCTTCTGTCAGAACCCAAACCCATCACCCTCCTTGTATTTGATCAACTTGTGCTCTATTTTCAGTGTAGGGTTAGACAAGAAGGGTGTGTCTGGTATACAGGATTCAAAGGGAAGGCATCTCCTGGCCTCCAAGAACCTGTCTTTGCCACCATAGGGCTTGCACTCTATTAGCAGCAGATTTATAAGCATAATACAAGCCACACACGTTACCCTAGACATATGCTAAGCACTCTCCATGATTTTTCCCTTGAATCCTCACCACAGACTTGTGAGAAGACAGCAGCAGTTGAAGCTTACATTTATGCAAGCACTGTGTGCCAGGACTCATTCTAAGCACTTCACATTTGAGTGTATTACCCCAGGACAATGCTCTGAGGTATCCTATTTACTGCTGGGGAAGTGAAACACAGATGGATTTAGTAAATCACCCAGTTCTACAGCTGGGGGTTTGAGCTCCTATGGTTTGACTTCACAGCCTCTATTGACTTGCTGCAGATTTTATCACTGTTTTAGAGATGAGGAATCAGAAGATCAGTCAGGTTAAGAAACCTGCTCAAAGTGTTCAAGTCAGGATTTGAAAGGGCAATTAGATGCCCTACTAATTGCTCCAGAAGAGGCTCCAGGCTCATCTTGTATATTTCCTTTCCCAGCAGCAGCAGCAGCAGCAGACATTTCTCCAAGGATTCCTGTTCCTTTATGTTAGAGAACAGTTTAAGAAATCAAGATCTGGGTGCTATTGTGTTTGTTGCTCCTGGGATGTCATTTCTTTTAGGCCCTCTCTGCTGACACAGAAAGAAATATATGTATGTGTACAAACGCACATATATGCACATAAGTATTTCTATACATAATCATCTGTGTCTACATAAAATTAAACACGAGTTTTTACCGATGTCTCCAACTCCCATTCATCACCACATGGACCACCACCTTGCTTATCTGTAAATTCCCACTGCAACAGTGAGAAATGACTGCAAGCAAAAATAGTGCCTTGTTCATTGCTGTATCCCAAGTATAGTGCTTGGCACATATAAGCTACATGTCGACTTGCTGTTGAGTTTACCCCATAATCTCAATTCTGGAAGGGACTACAGATAAATTTGCAAATGTTACAAAATATGAATTTTAAAGACTAAAATCACAACAATTTATTAGAGTGACAGTACAAGAGGGTGCACTAACAAAGGTCTGATTTAAGTGTTTTTATTCAGCTCATGAAGGGACAATGACAGTAACACATCTAAGCTGCGCCAAAAGGATTCAGCTTCCCTGAAAAGGATTCAAGTAGCATAAAATGGTTTGTTTCTCCACAGCAATTTACATTTATTAAAATAGATAATAAGCATATTCATTGTCAAAATAGAGCTTCTACCCTGTATAATGTCTTAATACATTCTCGAAGTTCCTGACAAACAGGCACAAAGCCATGGCAGATTAGACTGTAAGTGGAGGATCACTCTAATAGCACGGCAGAAAAACCAATCTCACACTTCTAGGAAGGAAAATAAGACTTGAGAACAGCCTTTGAAGGGGAAGGGTAAAGTACAAAGGGAAGGCGCTAAAGTGAGGCATCAGCGGGAAGGGAACTGGGCTCCGCCGTGACACTCTGCGTTCATGATGCTAATTTATGTCTGGGTAAGTGCGTGTGCATGACACAGAGGAAGTGTGAAGAGGTCTACATTACACCATGGAGGAGCTCATCTTGAATCTCTTGCAAGGGTGTGTGCTTTATATGGAGACTGCCTCACATGGGCATATATTATGTGCATTCTATGTCAGGTTCATAGGAACAAAACATTTGTCTGCTTAAATCTATTCTGCACCCTTTCCAATCTGTTCTTTGCACTGAAGCCAGGATGATCTTTTTGAAATGCAGCTTGGTCACTGCCTTCCCTCTTCCCCACATGTAAATATGTTAACAGCTTCCTTTTACTCCTAGGGTAAAAAGCAAAAAGGCCTCATATACTTTCAAGACTCTGCAAGATGTGGCTTCTGTCTAATGCCCGCCCTAGGGGAACTCAAGCCACATTGGCCACTTTTCTCTTCTCTGAACACACTCTCCCTACTCCTACTATCACTACTACTACTACTAGTACTACTACTGCGAGGCCCTGGTATATGCAGTTCCCTCTGCCTGGGTCATCCTCCCATCTCTTCTTCAATATAGCTAATTTCTATTATGGCTACAAGATTTAGCAATTATTCTTTTATTATGGAAGCCTTCCTTGTCTAGGTTCAATAACCCTTTTATTTCACACTCTCATAGCACCACAAACTCTTCCTTGAGAGGGCTTGTCACAGTTGGAATCATACATTTATCTTTGTTGTTCTTTAATATAGTTCCCTAGAGGGGCCCTGTCACTCCACATTCCTGGAACCTAGCTCCATGCTTGGCACCCAGGAAGTGCCCAATAAGTATCTATTGAATAAATTAATAAAAAAAATGTCATCACCATCCATCCACACTATTGTCAAGATTTTCCTGAACATTAAAGTTTCCCACTGGGTTCTGAAAAATATGTCATTTCACATGAAAAATTTTATTGGTCACCCTAGAGATGAGTATAAGAAATATCATTCTTAGGCTCTGGTAGTTTCCAAATAAACAGGATGTCTTTTTAATCATATGGGTCAATAATGCATTGGAATGAATATTAAATGGAAGAAGACATAAGGGGACATGAATAAATAATCCTCCAAAAGAGGTCAGCTATCACCGATTGGTGCTATCCCTTAAGATTGTTGTTATCAAGTAATTTTGCTTTATTTCACAAATGCTACTATTGGTTTTCAAGCTCTAATCATTGGGCCCTGATTTCACTCAACATTCAACAAATATTTACCAGGCATATTTATTACATTCCAGGAACTGTGTTAGAGCCTGGGATACTCACTGGGCAAGGGAGACAAAGCGCTTACTTTCTTTTTTTTTTTTTCCTTTTTGTCTTTTTTTACTGACCGGCAACGGGATCGCAACCCTCGGTGTTGTGCCCACACCACGCTCAGCCAGTGAGCGGGAACCGGTCTCCACATGGGATCCGAACCCTCGGCGGGAGCGCCTCCGCGCTCCCAAGCGGCGCACTCTCCCGTGCGCCACCGGGCTGGCCCAAAGCGCTTACTTTCAAGCAGAGGAAATATAATCAACACACTATCAAGTAAATAAAATCATTGCAGATTGTTATGAGTGCTTACAAGAAATGAAACCATGTTCTGTGTGAGTGAAATCCACATGGGATCCGACCCCTCGGCGGGAGCGCCTCCGCGCTCCCAAGCGGCGCACTCTCCCGTGCGCCACCGGGCTGGCCCAAAGCGCTTACTTTCAAGCAGAGGAAATATAATCAACACACTATCAAGTAAATAAAATCATTGCAGATTGTTATGAGTGCTTACAAGAAATGAAACCATGTTCTGTGTGAGTGAAACCACTCCTATTGTTTCATCATGATCTTAAGTAATCAAATGCCTCACCCAGATAACCTGCATCATCATTGCCTGTGTTACCGAGAAGTTCATAGCGTTTTCACTTTACTTGATGAAAGATTAAAGGATTTATGTTTTAGCATCATGCTTTCCCATCGGGATCTAAATGTACTCACTTTCTCAACTTAAATAAATGACTATACAAAACATAAGATATAGCTTTTCTAAAGAATCACTATAACCCCTCAAAATCTCTATTGCCAGTTTTGATGCACCCTAAAAGACCAAAGCGCCTTGTCCTCTAAGATGTGTATCTCAACAAAGCATCTGGTTCATGCCAAGAGAATTTTAATTTGGTTGTGGTGACAAGTAATACAAGGAGTAGCTAGTGGTACAGAAAATCTTAAAGACACCTATGAAGAGATTGTAAATTTTGCAAAGATTGGGTCCAGACTCTCTTGATAACCATTATAAATCTTGAGGCCTAGTATAGTGTTTGAAGCATAACCAGCCTTCAATAATTATTTGTTAAGTGTTTGCTGAATGAATGGTGAAGCTTCAAGAAAACTGGCCAGTTGAAACATGAGACCAGAGTGGAGCCGAAAAAGAAAAATTAAAATTGAAGTGGCTCACTTATCAAGAGAAAAAGGCACAGAGAAAGGGTACCCGGAACAGTATCCTCTTAATTTCCTTTTGACTACAGGCTTATGAGGGGTCAGGAATCTGAGAGAAGTTCAAGAACTGACAATACAGCCCCAAAGTACCACAGCTCAAGACTAATGCTCTAGCCTCCCATCTCCAGTGGAGAACAATTAGCAGATTTATAAATTCTTCTGTTTACACTCCTGAACAAATAAATTAATTGTGTCTCTGTTTTTAACCTAACAAATCATAGCTGGATTGCAGGTCATTAGTGACCATTAATAGCTGAAACTGTTTGCATTTCACTAGTATATCCGAATTACAGTCTTGCCTTTCACACTAGCTCAGTCAAGCTTCCAAAGGGAAAGCCCCCTTTATCGGGCCTCAAACAGGATTTAAACAATTAACCTCTGGAATTGGACTATGATGCAGAAGAATTCATTATTTTGATTCATCGCTGTTCTGCCTATCGTAGAACCAGACTTTCCCTTTGTAGTGGAGACATGCTCTTTGTGCCAAAAGACTGTGCAACCACCTCTCTCCAAATGTTCTCAATAATTCCCAGTGACCAGCAACATGAACCTGCTTATGTGATATTAGTACACACAGTCCTATGTTCACAACCCAATGGCTGATTAGTGTCCAGATAAATGCAGGGAGCATGTTGGGGAGTATAAGAAATGTAGAAATGACAGGAAAAGAGTCCATTTGACATCCAGAATTTTAAGAAGTCCAATTGGGCTTTGGATTATCCATGTTAGAAACCATGATTCTTGAAAAGAATCGGATAGTTGCCAAGCCTACGTTTCATTTTGTGCTGAGCAGTCGCAGAGGGGCATGGAGTGATTAACAGAGATTAACAATCTCAGAAGTATTTGAGGACTTTCTAACACATCAATTGCCATTTGGGAGCAAATCCATGGTCCACCTCATCTAATGTTCTCTTGCTTCAAAAAATACCCCCAGGGAATGCCACTTTTGACTACCAACGTGCTCAGACCATAGAGACAGAGGAGCTGCTAACAAGGCAAGTAGCAATAGCCCATGTTTCACACGACTATTTGTACTTTTTATTCTAAACACATGACTCATGCCTTGGCTTAGCATGCACAATGACTATGAGTTCTGTGCAGTTTAAAAAGCCTTCTCAAATCATGTATCCTG